TTGGCATACACAGCCCCTTTCACTTTCAGTGATACTTTATCCTTTTCCCTCTTGATCTCCTAAAACTTTGTCCCTGTCCTCCTTAACCAGCTTATCTTCCTCTTATACTGCCACCTAATTTCTGTCTTCCACAAACAGTCTCATCCCTCTGCCTCTCATTCAGTTTTCCATCTTCACTTTCCTTTCATAATCTCAGTGCATTTTTTCCCACACCTTCATTGTCCTGATCCCATTTGGTTCATGCTTCAATCCAAACATCATGTACCTTTTCCTTTCGTTGCTCAGATATGTCTTTTATAATCTCCTCCACCCTGCTAGCCACCATCCTGGTATGAAACCCATGCCTTCCACATCTTACGCCTCTCTCCTCTCTCTTTCTCTCTCCTCCACCCTTCTGATCCTTCATTTCCTCTCCACCATCTACCTCCTATCCCCCTCTTCCTCTCCTCCATCCACCTCTGATCCCTTTCTTCCTCTCCTCTGTCCACCTCTGATCCCCCTTTTCCACACTTCCCCACGTTGTGATCCCTGTGCTCCCCAGAGCTGTGAGGCATGTCCCTGTGTGTGAGTTGCTTGTGCTTGAGCCTGCATGTGTGGTGGCCCCGGGGCAGGGATGACACAGCCCCGCTGGAATGAGAGGGAACAGAGTCTGGGCGTTCCTCTACAAACGCACTATTAAACCCACTGCAGTACACAATGAGCTCATCTTAATTCAGGTCAGATGTACATCCTGTATTCTCTCTCTTTCTTTTTCTCTCTTTCCCTTTTTTGTAATTGATTACACCTTTGTTTTACCCTTGTGTATTTGTTTTCTCCACCTGCTACTACTCTGTGTACATTAGCACTAAAATTTATACATGGTTGAGATTATTGCCTATATTTGCCCGTGGAGAAGGGCATTTGTCAAGTCGGACCATGAGGGCACCTCAGGCATTTTGTAGAGGTCCTGAGCTCCTGCACTCAGGACGGACCTCCCTCCTTATCACCGCTTTCTGAATACAATCTAATCATAAACAATAATAAAGGAAGTTTTGTTTAAATTGTGAAGTTCACAAGGTCAATGTTTGTCCACGGAGAGCCCACAACTTTAAGCATAGGTGTGGAGGCGCTGGCACAATGGGCGTAGAAATCAGCACAGTTATTTATCATACACATGGGAAAAGGTGCTAAGCAATCTATAAAATTGTGATATGCAACGCATCCTGGGATCAAAATAATAATAATAATAATCAAAGGTAGGATTAATCAGTTACACTGTGAGCGCAGTAGTATATATCAGCAGCTAAGAGAGCTCCTGAATCTTGATATATATACAGTATGTGACAGACCATGCACAGATTGCATTTGCACATGAAATTACAGTTCATTTGTTTTCAAGCGGTGACAATTAAGTTCAAGTTTCTTTTAGAAAGTGCAAGAGATGATCAAGGAATCATATCTGTCAATGATCATGATTGATGGTCATAATCTGTATTAAGCAAAATAAATGTAATTAAGCATTGTCAAGCGGATTCTTTGAAATAGAAAGAATGGCAGGTATCAGCAGCCCACATCAGATCTTTGACCCTGTGGTCCTGTATGAAAACACATCAAGTTAAGAGCAAATATATCACCCTACACTTGGGTTTTGCAAAAAACCTTTTGAAGGCATGCAGACTGACATCTATTTGTGCTACTTCCCTTAAACGCAAAAACAAGGACCACAAGTAGATGGTGGCTCTGAGGTGTGAAATATATTGCATTTAAAGCAGCATGGGAAATGAAACCACAAATTGACTTCCTTCAGAACTTTGCACAGTGATGTGACTGTCAAACTTAGAGTTGCACACAGTATGCCCGGGGTGGGGCATCACCAACAAGACACAGTTAAGATTAAAGATAAATCTTCCACAGAAAACTTAAAGACAAAAGGAGTCACTACATATAAATGCCAAACCGCAAATGATACATTTTTCATGTCACCTTTGCACATGAATAAAATGATACAAACTTCGATTTTGAAATGGATCTAAGTCCAAGAAAAATTGCAAAATATTGTCTTGGTAAGATGATGACAAACCAAAACCACCTGAAATCAACAGTCTGGTTTTAAAAGAATTGCACCTTTTTGATTCACTCAGTCCTCAACATTCATAATATTAACCATTAAAGAAACTGCCCTCATTTAATAAAGGCACCTGTTTTAATACACAGCCAAAATTGAGAGAGATATTTAAATACCAAGTCATCAAAAATTGATGATCAGATATTTCACCACATCTGTACTGTAATCACTCCTCATTTAACCCAGCTGCATTCAGGTTGATTGTGCTATGTGATGGAAATGATTGGAGTTCCACTGTTGAGCCAGAATAGAAGAATTATTTCCTTTTGCCCACACCCATCTACCCACACATCCACACTTACAAGTAAAAAGGTTGAGGTTTCTACAGAATGTTGTATGTCACATGGTTGACTCGTAATGTTCAATGCATTTAACTCTGACATAACTCAGTGCCAGATGTTTACAAAATGAAAAGCACAGAGCATTCAAATCTGTTGGACGCCACTCCCCTTTGTATCATAATGATAGCCGTGACATTAAGATCTGCTGGCTCTTTCTTGTGCCTGTTTTTAACACTGGTTTGTGTCAGTGCAGCTCCCCAAAGACCTTGTTTAGGGACTCAGAGCAGGGGGAGAGAGAGAAAAAGAGAGCGAGAGAGAGGTCCTCAGGTTTCACAGCTGCAGGCCCAGCTCAACCCTAAAGTAAATGGACTTGAGGAAAGCCAATCCTAATTGATTCCAAGCCTCAAAGCTCTTTAGTAAACATTGTGGAGCAATGAAAATGACTTGTTATCCTAATTCATTGGATGCTCACGCTGTGCGTTCAGCAGAGCAGAGGAACAAACCGAGGAAGCAGATGGAAGTGAGATTAAACTGATTTTGTTTGGTGATTTTGTCTCATTCAGAGATAAATTCACCACAGAGTTCCATAAAGTGTGTCAAGATTAAAAGCTTTATAGGCCTGTAATGATCACATACACAAACCTTACCATTCCTGACAGGGATTACTGTTTCTTAATGGTCTCTAAAGTCATTTTGAGTAAATCTAAGTATAAACATTTGCACTGTAAAGAATTTATGTAGTGTGGATTAAAGTTTAGTTTTAAATGATTCTCTTTTCTTCACCAAGATATGGGATGTTAAAACATATTGGAGACTATAATTGAGGTGGCTTAACAGAACAAAAGGCTAATTATGACAGGCGTCATATGGAACCATTGGAGTGCAGCTAGCCTATGAAGTGTCCAGCTTATTCTGTATGTAGGAAGTTCCTGTGGAGAAACTCTGTGCATGGAGCCTTTGGTTGGCCCTAATGGCTTCCTGTGGAAGCATTGCTTCTCAGTGGAGGGGTTTCCTCAACTCATTTTCCTGCTGATGTGAACATTTCCAGATCAGTTTTCTCTGGTGTGAATCTGCTCATTCTATTCATGTGTTAGGACACCACCATCCTCGTAAACAAGTGACGTCCCTGCAGTTTCAGCAATTGCTGCTCAGGGACTGCCTCAAATAATGTGAGACAGATAACTGCAGCTGGGACTTCTGTGCCATTCTGCAGCTGAAAACCACCACCATACGTCTCTGATTTTCAAGTGATGTGTTTTTATGTGAGCAAGCAGTAAAACTACCAGTCTCTAAACAATGCATTGAAAGATTTGTGATCATATAAGACGTGAAATCCACGTTTTAGCAAGGTGAGGAGTTTTTAATGCCAGGTAAACTCAGGTGAAACAGGCCCAGCAAAGTCTCTGTTACTGGCAGTGATTGCTGCTCCTCCAAGGGGATGAAATTCCACCCCTGTCCTCGACAAAGAGCCTGACGGGGTGTCAGTCAGGCTTAGTGATGGGCCTCCCATCCAATATTCACTAACTCCTCAAGCTGTAAATCTACACAGGACAACCTCGACACAACGCAGGTCTATAACACTGAGCCATCTCAATGTCTAACTAGCCTGCCACAGGCCTGGTTTACAGTAACAAAGCCCTGGCACAAGTTTGAAGGTGGTTGGGGTGAAGGGATAAGGGATATGAATAAAGTCTGTGCAGTGTCATCGTGAGGAAAAGAAGTGTGTCTAAATGTTTGTGTGTAATGATTATGTTATTCATATGTAAAAACCAAAGGGTTGTAGAAGGAAAGACATCAACCTCAAAGAACTGATAGCTCATGATTCTTCTTAGGATCTATAAAATCAATGCCTCACCCAACCTCACTACATACAGAGACCAGATATGAATCATCAGCACCCAGTCTGATTATGACTATGATTGAAAACACATTAAACTCTGAACTATTCCTTGACCACTAAAGACTGCAGGTAAATGACAAAGCAGCACCCTAAAAAGCTGTTAATATATTTTCTATATTGGCTGTTATTACACACCTGTATGCAAAGGTATCAGAGAAAGAGAACTCTAATGTTATGGCTGACATTCCCATACAGTGAAAGGAACTATTTTAAAGCATGAAATGCTAAACCGTTGTAAAAGCAGTCACAACTGAGGCTTCAACAATGACCTCATCTTGTCCTCTGGGACCCTCTTTGGCATGCTCTGCTGTGGGACAATACTGAATGAACAGCAAAACATGAATCGCCAGTCCCACACACATTGCTCAAAATGTAACAAAATACTGACATTACCTCAGAGACTACGGAGCGATGACAATCGGCACCGACACAAAGGGACCAGGCTGAGCCTACGGCTGTAGCTATAACAGGGGCACTCTTGAGGTGAGAGGATACACTCCGATCACTGCACTTCTCAGATAATTTTCAGTCTGTCAGCAGATATTTACACTGCTTCTACCCCATGGTAACAAAAACAAACTCGAAAACTCACCCACACTAAATTAATAATACAAAAAACTATTGTTTCTCTAATATAATTTACATTTTTGTAACTGTTACTTAATTTTATTTTGCTGATGTTTTGCCAGATTTTCCGGTTGTGTTGCCCACTCACCCTATCTGTCTATTTGTGGATGGAGCCTGAGTGATGACGGAGCTGGACTGAGAGGGCAGGGCCTGCTGGATCACTATGCTGGTATCATGGTTGCCCATCCGTGAGTGGGACTGCTGGTGCTGGCCTTGGCCTGCCTGGCCGTGCAGTGAGATGTTCTGCAGAGCAAAAGAAAAGAAAGAAGGTATACATCTGTCAAGAGTGTCAAAATTTCCCCAGCAAGTTGTATTTTCAGCACAACCCAAGCATTACAACTGTTTGGCCTTGGGCTCCATACACCCAGCTTGAATTGGTAACGAGGAACTATGTAAACTATCATCTACAGGCTTTTTCTGAGTTGAATTAGGGAAACAATGAGTCTAATGGAGACCAGGCTTCGTTATTGTTATTTACCCAGCAGGACAGTTGTCAGTTTTGCCTCTGTTACATATAATGGAATATACATTCCAAAGCTCAACAAAGCTCACACATCTTGAGGTAAAACAAACAGAGAGCTGAAGTAATTTGCATTGAGTCAAATGTGAAGCATAAAAAGAATAGAGACAGTCACAAAATTTTAGAAATGCATTACAAAATAACTAAATCACTCATACAGGAATGTCTGTACATGATCGTGTAACTATTTTATATTTACATTGGCCGATGCTGTTTTCCTGACGTTTCAGTGTTTTTGCTCCTTATCTATGCCTATTGTGTTTTTTGCGCTCCCTCAGAGTCTTGCTCTGACTCGCCTCCTGCTGAGTTAGCAGAGCCTCCCATCGTAAACCACACAGGCTCTGGAGGCTAGACATGGCATGACCTGAGCACAGATGAGCTTCAGAGCCAAACCACCCAATGACAGCTTAGCTTCAGCGTGCACTGCACATCTTCCCAGACATTAGATAAGCAGTCTCTCTTGTGGTGATTTGACGAGTACCTTTCAGGTAGTCGTGCCTCAGGGCAGATCTATAGTGCATAAATGAGCACGTCTTTTATCAAATGTCAAAGCTCTGCAACTCTGCTCACATGTGAGAATGTCTGGTCAGGTCTTTTATTGCTTCCACAAAAGTTGTCTCAAGGGTCTGTCTTTATGTCTGGAAAGAAACAGGACTCCCTCCCTGAGAAATGGCTGGAGAGCTGTTTGAAGTTACAGGTGGAGAAGCTGATCTCTTTTTTTCTTTAACTGTGGTGGGTGACAAATCTCCACCTGCTAGCCCTGTCTGTCACTGTCAACAGGACTGATGGGGATCAGGGAGCATGGCATCTGGGGCACAACAAGGGCTGGATGTGCAACACATGACTACATTTTGGATGAGAAGAAGAAAACATGGCAGAAATATTGAGGGTGTCTACATATCTGTGATTATCACCTCTTTAACAGAGCAGAGTGCGGTTACATGACGTCTACGTGTTGTGCATCTATTAAAAGAATGTGTATCAGTTCATATTTTGTGGGCTGTTGTTGGTGACATGACTGATGATAGCACCAGATAACAGTTCACAATAGCCTGACATACCCCGTGTGGTCAGGCTCTGGCTTTGGGTTCACCTAGGTTTTTTTTTAAGCCTGAGGATTTATACTGTGCTCTTTAGTACCTGTTTACTGTCTTCTTCTTCCTGGGCCTTGCAAAACTCCTGTTCAATGGAACAGTCCAGTTCACTGAACAATCCCACCTCCTCACAGTTCTTCAAGAAACGTGTTGGCGTGGGTGTCTGGTCTGGAAATCAAGGAAAAGTTTTTCAGGTTTTAGCTTTTAAATCAACTATTGTTATTTCAGTTTGTAGCAAAAGAGTACAGGTACAGAGCATAGGAACATGCAGAAAATGGTTGTTTTTCATTTTTCTTAATTTTCTTTTTATCATTTTCATTTATTTGTAAAGGACAGTGCATGTTACCATTTGATGTATTATACCACAGTTAGCTTAAAGCATTTTCATCTGCAGCCCCTTGGTGGGGCACAATGAAACATAAAGTATACAATGACAGAATAACACTAAACAAACAAACAGGACACACAATACAACAATATGTCAAACAAACTACATATGTCAGCAAGAAGTACAGTATATGTTGGACAAATTAAAACCAGATCTATTTGTATTAATATCACAGATATGGCAGTTTTGTTTTTGTTTCATTGCATAATTGTTATTGTTAGCTCTTTAATTTGAAAAATCACTTACCCTTTTCCTTAATGCTTAAGTTTTTTTTTTTTTCCAGCCTCACTGATTCGGCTTCATGTTAAAATGCTGTTTGTTTTATTACTTGTTCTTGTAAACCAGAGTTAACATAGTAAATACTTTAAGGAAGTTAATGAGGATCCACATCAAGACTAAAGTTTTAAAAATGGACATTGTTGTTCCATATTTGCAGTGATTTTAAGAAAACATCACTTCAGCACTGTTAGGGAGAGAGAGATACTAAACTTGACAGCCCCATTTCAGCTGATGAAGTACAGATCCCACCTACCGAGTGGGGGTCTCATTTGTTAAACTCAGTCAAGCCACGGTATTCAGCTTGACATTGTGGGGGGGTGCACACAGATCAGATTTCAGACAGTTGAAGGTGATTTTAGGATCAGGCTTGTTTCAAAGGCTAAAAGCATACTTCATGGTCTGTTTATCCATTCTGGCTAGACTGGGGATTGACTCAAACTTTGTACCCAAAATACAGTGTTACTCTAAATATACATCTTTTCCATTGGAGAGAGTGAGAATGTAACTCAAGTTCTATTAATAAAAAATATACCTATGAGTCAATGAAAATATTAACAAATGGAGCGGGAGGTTAACTTTAAGGCAACAGCTGTAGTACTAAAGGCTAAAGAGCAGACAATTATTGTGACTAGTTTAGGCCATGTTACCATGTGTGCTTGAGTTGTAACTTACAGTATAACTACTGACTATTTTCTCTTGAGGTCAAGGTCTCAGTAAGAAAAACGGCCAGAGCTGTAACTCAGACAACAGGCAATAAGGACACCTGGCCTAGAAAATCCGATCCTGCTGTCCACAGAGTGTAAATAATAAAGAAGACACAATCTCTGCAACGTGGCTGAAGCAGCACACACTGTCGTCTAGTGTGGCAGGGACATTTCTAGGAATGGAGATCTATACTTATGGATTGGCCTTAGGTTGACACTTGTATACGCAGTACACAGTCTATAAATTTGATGTTTCTTTGAACAGATCAGCATGTCACCTGGGGCTTGGATACCCCACCATCCATAAAACATATAGTAGTTCATCATATAGTAAGATGAACACGTCTAATGATGGGAAAATGCAAATCACATAAAGAAACAGGGAAGACATTTAACATAATGTGCCTCAATAATATGTCAACATCTCTTCATCCTGTTGTGCGTATATGGTATGCACTGAGTTGCAAGCTAGGATGTGTCATATGATTTACATTACTGTAAACAACTGGTATAGACATGCCATAAAGTTTTGTGATGATAGACAAGTGCGTCTGAGCATGAGTCACCAAGGCACACACCTGCTGAGCTGCTGAGGTAGTGTGTGTCTGTATTGATGTGGCTGTAACTCACCTGATAACATGTTGTCGTTCTTTATGGAAGGGAACTTAAGGGTCATCTCATGCTTGTGTCGATGTATCATCAAATGGTCCTCCGTGGGGAAACGCTGTTAAGTTTTTAAGAAGTAGGACTGTAAGAATTGCTTGTACAGAGTTAAATAAGTGTTCTAATTCTGAAACTGAACTACATGTTTACTATTCTCTATTTAAAGAGTTGTATCCTAAAAAAGCAACAGCGCTGGTATTGACTTCAAAGAGCATTTCTATAGGTATTTTTACACCTATAGTGTTATTTGCAGTTTGTGTTTCACTCGGTTCCAAGCTATTCTGTTTCTACACCTCAGGCCTACTAATTGTACACCTCTTCATATTACAGGCAGATGTACACACACACACACACACACACACACACACCCTTTGTGGGGTCCAACATTTTGGTCCCCACAAAGCTGTTGGACACCACACTCTTAGTAAAACAGGCTCCCTCACACGCACACACACATGTATAAATGCAAACTCTGGTGTGTTGTTTTGTCTTGACACACTCACCTGAGAACAGCCAGGAGCGTTGCACACGAATGGCCTTTCCTGGTCTGAGTTCATCACTCTGGCCAACTTCTCATAAAACTACAAAAAAAAAAAGAAAAGAAGAAAGCAAGGAGAGGAAGTGAATGACTTGTGTTTCCCCGCCAGCATTCAAGAGGAAAAATACACTATAGTAATCTAGGATGCCCTCAAATGACATCAAGGCTAATATGTTCTGGCTTGTTAAACCATGGAAAACAGTGGATTATATATATACATATATATATAGAGAGAGAGAGCGAGAGAGTAAATGTGGGTGAGAACCATGACTTAATAAACCATGTTTGAAATTTTCAACCAAATACCAACACCATATTGAAGCCATAGTCTCAAGGTGCTGTCCTCTAATGTTTATTCTCACCACAAAGTGACAGAATCTGGTCTAACACATATGGTGCCGGACTGGCGACAATAACTACTCCCTAGTAATAGCCATGCATCATATTAAATGTGGTTTCAGTTATTGTTTTAGATGCTTTATTAATTCAAAGTGAAAGAGAGGACGAACTTTCCCAGAAGAGAGGAATACCTCATACCTGCGCACTGCTTAAAAAATATAAAACTGAGGCACAGACACATAAAAATTAAAGGCCTAGAAATGATGTGAATATAATCCTGTCCCCCTGTTTACTTACAGGAAGATAATCATGCACAACAACACAAAATCATTTTTAAAATATATTAAAAACAGCTTGACTATATTCATGGGACAAATTCAGAGACAAAAACAACAGAAATAACAGGTGCATTTTAACAGCTTCCCAAGAGTAAGAGCACGACATTTAAAGGCTCTTTTGTGCACTTTAATCAATTCTTACGTTTGATGCACAAGTGGTGTCTCACTCACATTTAAATCTTTTAAATATTAAACGACCAAGTTTTAAAACAGCTAAGATAATTGTCCCTGCCTACAGTAAGTAAAGCACTAGCACTAGGCAGAAAAAGTAGAAATAAATTTACACAATTTTTATCAGAAAAAGTCACTTGGACTCTTTATGTGGGATGCTGCACACTTGAGGTCCTGCCTCGGCAGCATGTGTAGCTGTTATCGACGCAGTACATTTTGAATACGGACTGCATTGTGTCTGTAAAGAATATTAAAGCTGTCAAGTACCAAAAGCTTGCATTGAAAGCTCGGTCAGATTCATAGGTTATTTATTCTTTAAACAGTGATTTTCTGAATAAAATTGTTATTTTAATAATTGCATACTGCTTTTTACTTTAGAATTTCTGGTTAGGATGTTTGTGTTAAGACAACATCAAACAAAGTTGACCTTATTTGATTAAATCAGAAAAGGTTTTTTTTTTTTTAGAAAAACTGATTACAGCCTACTCAGCAAAGTAAGCTATAGAAAAAAAGTATTATTTGAGTGTTCTCTGGACTTAAGCCGTTGGCCTTACATCTAACATCACACTTGATGACTGCTTTTGTTCCACTGAGCATCTTGTATTTGGACATCTAATCATTGTCCAGTACAATGTCGTGTAAACTATCCTCATAACTGACAAACGCGAAAAAACAACCTCTGACCGGTCACCACATGCCAGTACTATAGATGCTCAGCACCTTCTGACAGATGTTTTATTTAGCAGTTGTTAAGTGAATATGGGAAGTGTTATGGTAGTCTTATTAATCCCCTCCTTGGAGCACAGCACACAGCATGGCACAGGGACCATCTTCATCTTCGAGTCAGTGCTGTGATCATGGTGATCAACACTTCACATGCAGATCTTTTGGAACAGGACATGCAAACCGATAATAAACATTCAAACTTCATACAGGAGGCTCAAAGTTGGCCCTAGTGAGGTTTGAACCGAAGAGCATGTGAATAAACTAGAGTTATGGACACTCGTTTTGTACTTCAGTAAGTGAATTAAGCCTGTATAATCTATTTGAATAGTGCCGGGGAGGTGCAGAGAAACAAAAACGCTAACAGATAAAGTGTACAGTTAACGACGCAATGACATTTTTTCTGTTGTAGCTGCTTTAAAAAATGTTCCAGGCTGGCACTGTCTGCTGAGAGACAATAAATGTAATCATTAGCATTAAATGTGTGGTTTGTTGTTCATGTCTACTCTTGGTGATGACTGAAACCTCTGCAGCATTTACAGCACTGAGTATGCATTAATTACACACAAATAGCACAATCTTAATTAGTCCTTTACCTGCCACCATCATCAAGTCACAAGAACTGCAACGCATCTGAAACTCAAGTCAGTGCCACATGTCACATGTCGAGCATGAATACCTTCATACACTATGTATGTACATGTGTGTCTTTTTCATGGGTACAGACTATTTCCTCAAGCACAGTCAAAACAGTCAATGTTGTGTTATGCTAAGCAGTGCTGTTTTCCTAACAAGCTGTACTTCATGACCGAGCCTGCAGAACAGGGTCTGGACAGGGTCTCTCTGTCAGAAAGCAATGAGCCCTGCTCTCTCTTTCTGTCACCAGTTCACTCCGTCTCTTCAGCTGGGCCCCAAACACTCACCTGGTCTCTTTTGACACAACAAACATGACTAACACAGCTGATCCTAATCTTCAACCCAAACTAGACCCAGGATGATGGCAAGTATTAGGGGTAGTGCTTCAAAAAGCCTGTAGACATGCTGCCAGTTATTGGTGTCTTGAATCAACATTTTAGGCCACATTTTTATCTCAAATGCAGTTACATTGAACCTTCGGCTGTTTATACAATAATTGCTGCCACATTTGTTTTCAGGCTTTCTGAACACTGAACACCTGTGCAACTATGAATTACTTCATTAAAATTTGAAACTTTACAATAGATCCGAAAAACTGATATCGCTAGAAAGCACTAATGAAAAAATATGAGAAATAGATTTTTAAAACAGATGCAGAAATTCAACTTTTACCTTCCTGTTCCTGTTTCTAAAACGGGACTTAATCATTTCATCATATTTATCAGGAAATTCAAACCACATGACACATAAAACTTTTTAACCATTAATTCTGTGAATGCCTCTGTGAATTATCCAATAGCTTTCACACTTCAAATGATCAGTACTCAACGTCCTTTCCTAGGAAGGGGCACTTGGCTCTCATTTGATATAGATGTTTTAGGTTAGCAGAGGAAATTTGGTTGCACTTTATATTAACTATATCCGGATGTGAGCGAAGGGAAGGATTAGGGTCCGGCGTTCAATTTCAAGAGGAGCTGGGGAGGAATTCTCCAGGTAGAACGCCTATTAGAATTTAAACAATATGGTGAGGAAAAGAGGGGTTGGGGTGCAAAGGCATATTGGGTTAAAGCAAGCACAAACATGCGCAGAAATTCTAATCTCCAGCTCCCCATAGCCGGGGCCTTTGACAGCACAAGTTCAAGGCAGGATCATGGCGATCCCTGAGGCAGGGAACATGGCCCTCTTAGACAATGTCTGCCCTGAACTTCTGCTCTTGAACTGAATGCGTGACAAAAAGACTGCTGTGATGTAAACCTCAATAACTATCAATTACTGGCCCTTCCACCACATGTAAACTCATAACAAATACAAAAGCACCCCCCCAGAGGGCCATGGGACTAACACCACTGACATTATTCTTACGCACAAAAAGTTCGTGTAAGTAAGTACCATTGTTCAAAAAGACAAAAAAAGTCCCAGCACAATGTACAAATCAATAAAATTCATGCAGAATTTTTTTATGGTGAAATGAGAAGTCTGTGGCCAAACAGTTGATCAGTCTGTGTGATTGGTGTTATGATTTTTGTCATTTGACTCCCTCATTGATACAATCATTACCAGAGGAAAGTTTCACCTTGAGCACATGCAACAACCATCAACAAATAAACTCATTGTAGGTCACATTTCATTGCAGCAGTGAGCTGCTGGACTGCAAATATAACATTGTGCAAAATATGGTTAGAATTAAATCTGCTTCAAGGTTACTAAATAACACAAGTTAGAGTCAGCTTAGAGTCAGTGACTTTACAGTCTTTGCTATTTTGTTTTATTTATTCATGTAATCATTCCTATTTTGATGTTGTGCATTATTTATTTTCCTTGACTTGACTAATTCACTTCAGTAGAATATTACTAAAAGCTAGATTTTGACACAATTAGTTTATCATTATTAGTTGATTATTTCTAAAGGAATTTATAACTCGTTTTCAGTCTCAAAAGATAATTGAAAACATTTGTTTTGCAACAAAGAGCGGAAAACTGTTGTTTCCATAAAATTTTGCTTTATTCTACTGATGTACTATAATAACATTCTATTTCTTTTCAATAAAAGTCCATCTCAGTCTGTATTAAATTATCAAAATTACTAATATCATCATCATCAAAGTTAAATACCTTATTAGGTGTTATTAACACTGCCAATTAAATGGACACAATAAAACTGTAAGCCTACACAGTAATTTAAAGCAGCGTGCACGAGGAGCAAGTGGTTATTGATAGTGTTGTCACATAAACATAATGACAGCGGAGAGTAATCAAATGATTAAAACATCTTTCTTCTTTTCGAGCCACAAAGCGCGCCTCGTCAGCACAACCTTCCTGAAAGTAACCCTCAACATCTCAGCGGTTAATCAAATATCGACTGGCCTGCAGAATGACGTAATGTTAGTCCCGGTGCTGTTCAAGAGAAAAAGGAACATAAATTTCATGGGAACGAGAGCATCACTCTCTTTATTATTAACTGGCATGACAGCAAAAACCACCGAGCTATCATTTTCCAGACGACCACTGGTGAACCGCAGCACGCACAGAGTCCGGGACAAACGCCGGCTCTGCGTATCCCGAGATGGGACAGGCATGACAATGATGCAGGGATCCAGCGTTTAGTGCTTTACAGCTAATATAAACCCTGGATGACATGCCAAACTGGTGTGAAGTGCAATAAAAATCCATCCTGTACAGTAACCCTCTCTGTGGTTTCAGCTGGACTTGAGGTGAATTCCTGCAGACTTGTCTCCGCTGCTGCCTGACAGACCGAGCAGCAGCAGCAGCAGCGGCAGCGGCGGCGGCGGCACTTGACTCCGCGTTCAACTTCAACAACAGTCAACAGATTGGCCAAAGCAAGGACACCGAAGAGACATGACAATGCACTCACTATATCAAAACTAACATGATACTTTATCTCTTTCAGTTGCAGCCACAAATGACTTGAGAACAAGAAGAAAAAAAGACACATCTTGACCGGGACTGCTGAGGCGAACAACAAAACAAGCTGTTGCACGAAAAAAAGGAGGAGAAAAAGTAACAAGGAGCGCTTTTAAAAAACACAACAAACCTGCAGAGGCGCATGCACGGTGCTCTGCATGATGGTCTAAGGTTTTCAACTTACCAAACAAGTGTAGAAAATGTGAAGCAGTCTCTGAGAAGAAACCACGTTGGACTGAGAAAAGATTACAATACGATCTATTTAGAGAAGCATAACGTCACCCCTGGGTGACGTCACGTGGGATTCCTGAACTTCTATATCATTGCGGTCCGCTTGGAGGCGGCGCGAGCAGGGCGGAGTTTGCACATGCACACCCAGAGAGAGGCAGGCATGGACGGACAGTGCTGGACCTGGAAGTGGGTGTGGTGCAAAGCTGCATCAAAGCTGACCCATTAGAAATGCAAATATAAGCGCTCTGTGTCTTCTTCTGAGGTGTCTCATAAGTGACATCACTTAACTGTGTGTGAAGTGAGAGGATTCAATCACACACTTCATCACTTCACACTTAGGACTTAATATACTGTAGCAAACTTCCAAGTAGCATAGTGGGAATAGTACAATAGCCAATTTGACTGCTACTAATAATAAAGTCACAGTTTTTCTTATTTTCTATCAAACAATAAATTGGTCCACCTTGACCAAAACAGAAAACTTACATTTGAAATAGACCTAGTAATTTTTTTACAGCAGACATTTTGTTTTCCCATAGTAGGAAAAACACAGCTGTTACTAATAATGTTAATCATGGCTCTGCTCTATTAAAGTGTCCATGACAGTGTAACAACAAGCCAGCATGCACAGCACTAAGACCCTGAAACTGTAGCAGTTAAATGGAATTCAGCCATCATTCATTTTATTACTTACACCTGTGCTTTTCTTACTGTCCCATGTGAAAAAAAATGCCTGTTGGATTAATTAGCAACAGAGATAAAAGTAGACAACATTTGCTGGAAGGAGGTAAGTAAGCCTTTCAGTTGCACTCCAAGTTGCTCATAGTGGAAGGGAGTTAACGCAGCATTAGGCCATGATGATATGAACCTATGAGTCCACAGGTGGCAGGTGGCTGTCTGTCATGTAGTTATAATCATGGCAAAATAAGCTGCTGGGCCTTTTTTAACTCCCTATTACCCCTAACCTCTGCGTATCTCATTTGCTGTGTGTTAATTTGATCAAACCAAAACGAATTATGCAACCTATAAGCACAAAGCTGAATTAATGACAGCCTTACAGCCAGATTTGGACACAAGGACCCTCTCGAGGCAAGGCCTCAAGATTAGAAAATATACCAGCAACCACCTATCATTTAATAAATTGTTTCAGTTCAAGTAGCACAAAACAGTAAGCCTGGAGCTCTTGGGGCCCTTTATATTATGTTGTTCAGAGCAGTTTTCTGCTTCTCCCAGTTGGTAATCCAGCCTTCATGACAGTTTTTATATTTAGCATCAAAGCCATGTATTACTTTTGGACTTCACTGTCAGAGCCTGAACAGCTCATTTATCACATCTGCTTATCAAATCACATGTATTTATACCTTTTTCTTATATATAACATCTTTTCACAAATGGGTCATAACCCAGCACACCTTATACACCATCAACAACTTTACTTGCAAATGAACTGAACATGCAAAACACATAGTTGTTCCACACTGCCTTATCTGAAATGAGTGTCTTAGCTAAAGCACATTAGAAGAGATTTAAACAGCTTTTGAGTACAAAGCATTTATGTTGGAGCTCTGTGTGACCTGCTGGTGCCAACTGGCTGTGATTTCTTGGGCCACAGACACTTGTAGTGAAGCCATCCTCAGCTCCAGGGATTAATGACTCTTCACACATTAAGAAATGTTTACCACTCGCCTGCGACCACTCCACTAGACGCACTAAGAGCTCTGTCACTGAAACAATAACGCAGTCTGAAAAGCCCTCATAACTCAGAGCTTCTCCGCCTCTGTCCTTTAACCAGAGCTTTAATCAACGTTTATGACATCCTTTTGTCTCTTTATTGCCAATATATTTCCCAACCAATCCAAACATTATGCTCCCAGAGGAGCAGACTATTAAGGTTGGAAAGAGCCGATACAGTTTGGGTCAGTGACCCACACTAAAGCAGATTTGATCTATATTATACTAAACCTTTTATTATTATGCCTTTGTGCAATGCTTTTGAGTAAGATCACCTTGGGAACATTAGCACCTCTGTAGATGCTTTGTTGCAGCAGGTGCAAAAGGCAAAGGAGTCTAAATAACAAATGTGTCATCCAGGTTGTCAATCTGTAAACACAATATAAAACACCTTCAGAAATATTCTACTTTGTACAACAATCAAAGATGGAGAACTGTTACTGTAAAACACTGTTTCCTGCTCTCTATACCTTGCGCACAGATAATTGGGCCTGCAGGGATAGAAATGCTGAGATCTCAGTATCACTGCATGGCATTTCACAGCACAACACCTCAGCAATACAAATAGGGTGGCGGTTTCATCTGACTGTACACTTGTAACAGCTATCTTTACTTATCCAAAGTGTAAAGTTGCATACCAGCTAGAGTAGACACTGAGCAAAGTTTCTTAAAAGAGAATTTACATTGAATGCTAGAAGAACTGTGTCTATTATCTGCATTTTAGTCCATAGAGGAGATCATTCACAGTGTCTGACCATCAAGTTTGTTTTACCTGAGAATACTGGCTAAGTATCATTTTAATGGTCCATTTTAATTTTTCTATGTTCAGTTCCTCTAGATTTCCAACAGAACCTTTTCAGTTGACAAAAGCATACCATCTTCACCATTGAAAACTTTGATAGTGTGAAAGCTGATATGGTGTTTATTGTAGTAATTCCTTCAACTTATACATTTTTGTGTCTCCAAAGCTTTTTGAAAATAAAGGTTCAAACATCACTAGTGGAGACAGGGGAGACTTGGGTCCACTGTTGTGTGATATGACGGGACTGAGAGCCTATTTCAGCAAAACATATGTGCTGGGAGGTTCCCAGTAGATAACCCCAGTGACATTCCCGCACCCAAACCCTCAACTCTTTAACATTTATATTAGGTGGCTGGTGAATGGTGCCGTCTGTGTGATGGCTCTTTAGATTTATAACAGTGTGAGATATAGTATGATACCTCTGTGCTCAGCATACGTGGGTAAGTACATCACTCTTTTGACATCTGAATCAGGCTTCTGTATGTGCTACACCATATTATTAAGCACATTTGTAAAACTATTTATAAACATTACCTGGCTGGGTGTCATATAAATGGTAGTGATAACAATGACTTTATACCTTTCATTTTTTAATATTTTATGTTTATGATTTATATTACAAAAGTGTATGAACAATATTTGCGATAAATATGTTGAGGGGCATTGCCATTGTTTTATTCCTTGTTTAGTAATTGACAGGACTTGCAAAACGTTTCATGATATTTTGATTCAATAGGTTGGAATAAGTCTGCTGGTGTGAAACTGTAGAAGTCAGAAGCGGTCACGTGCCTCTCTTTACTGTAGTACGTGGGAGCACATGTAACTATCTAAAAGGCGAGCAAATTATTGTGTTGGTTAGCTCAAACTTGTTTGATGGTTCACAGAGGGAAAGAGGGTTTGGTCACTTAGTCACAGCTGTGAAATGTGACTTTCCCTGCATGTTTCCACATTGAGGTTAAACAACATATTCAGTAAATCTCTACTGCAGAAAATCACAAATATATCTATTACCTCATCTACGTTTATGGGCTGTAACAAATTGAACAGTAATGATTAGTTGCAGCTATGCTCATCAAGCACAACCATCAATAAATAACTGAGGGTAGGCAAAGCCAGTATTTTAAACAAAAGCCATCAGCTTCCTCATACAAGCAGTTGTATGTGATGTAATGCTTTCAAAGTAATATCCCACTGTGTTTTCGAGCATAACTGGAAAAATAGTTTTACCATCACTGCAGAGCTTGATCTGGAAATGGGCTGGGCCCAGTGATGACCCATTACACCATCACCAGGCACAAACTCACAGCTACTGCTGTGCCAGTGAATGCAAAAAAGAAAGCAACTGGAGAAAAGTTAATAAATCATATTACTGTAATTTTGTCAAGATTAATGCTCACTTCCTACATACTGGTGAAATGTATTCCTACTTGTACAATGTGCAGACATCCGGTTTTGTCTTGCAAGTGATGGCATCACTCCATGTCTTCCACTGAAAACAGGTGAAAAAACAAAGTCACATTTTGTATATAAGGACACACAAAATCTTTCATATCTTTTGCTCTGACAAGTACTTTGAGTAAAACCTCACTCACACACTGACACCCTGAAAATTGAAAATGTATTCTACACATAACTGTACCTATAGAAAATTGTCCACTTTTTATTAGTGAGAGCATCCAATGCATCAAAATGTTAACATATGTTCTCTTCTAGACTGTTTCTATCTGAAACAACAGAATGACTAAAATTACCTGGCAGCACATGATGATCTTAATCTGATCTGATCTTGATACTAAACCCATGTAGAAATAACATAAGAAAGAGGCTTGACATGTTGTATATTTCAAATATATTTGACACTGCTTCCTTTGAGTACTTAATAGTATTGTGTCTGCGACAACAGTCTTGGTAAAGTTTGGGATAGTTGTACCAGACCCCCACATTACTGAACACAAAGAACATGACTTATATATATCTGCTGACCAACACTGCCACCCTGTGGCCACAAGATGCTTTTGATCCAGTGTGGGATCCATACAACACGTTTCACAAATTGATATATATGTATAGACTACATATATGTTTATGAATATATATGTATTCAATAAATAATTATTAGATCATTTTGATGTGGATAAAGGTGGGCACATTTCCTGGTTTAGATAGGATTCAAATTAAAACAAAGCACACGTTATGTTAAAGTACACTCACCAGAAGGTAAGACATGGGAGGCAAATTAAACAGTGAAAGCCAGAGGAATTAGTTAATGATAGTCCTTCTCCCCCATCCTGCCAACTGTAGACAAACTACATGTGTCAAGTTAGACTAAATCACAAAAAACTCAACTTCCCTTAAAATTTTTACAAATAAAACCGAAAAATAACTACTTCAGGCTGATGCTAGTTTTTCTGATTGATTAATGTGCTATTTTAACCAATACGTTGATTAGATCCAACTGAAAATTAATTGATTATTATTGTGATAACTGAAAG